CCTCAAGCACACATCCAAAGAGTGTCTGCTGAGTGCTTGGGGTGAGCTTTCCCAAGGCCCAGATTGCCCTTTGTTCTGCCTTCCTCGCTCCCCCTCCCTCCTCCTCCCTCTCTCCCTCTCAAGTTGCTCCAGCTCTTCTTGGACTGACCCGTCCTGTTTCTTATCAGTCGCCCTTTATGCTGCGCGTGACTGGGCAGGCAGGGAGCTGTGTTCTCTGGGGCTCTGGAACAAAGGCTTCTAAACAAGAGAAAGTCACTCAGTTCACTGGGAAAGGCTGAAACAGGCGAGCAAGAGTGGAGAGAAGAAACCCAGAGTGTTTTCTGCAACCTGTGGGAAAGGCCTTAAAATGAAGCGGATTAAGCAGAAGGAGAGAGACTCTGATCCTGGAATCAAATCACGTTGTTTCCCAGCCAGGACAGACCTCTCTTCAGGGTACCGGATCCCACAGCCTCTGCTGCAAAGTCCCGTCTGGTGACAAGCACCAGGAGGATGCCCCTTCACACAGGGACCCTCTGCTAAGAGTCTTTGGAACTCATTTAGCTCTGCCAGACACTCCGGGGATATATAAGGCAAAGAGGCCATGGTGGCTTCAGAACCTGACAAGAACTTTAAGTCAAGGCCAGCCTGGGCCACAGCAGTGTATCCAGCCCCAGGCACACCTATAATTGGCAGAACTATACATTTTCATTAAGGTAAGCTTTCCGCAAGTATCCCCAGAGGCTCCACTTTTTTAGTAAGGTGAAGATTAAGATTACCATGTGTTCCCATTCCTCTGACCTCTGTGAAGTCCTTCTTACCTTCCCCTACACTCGCATCAGGCTGAAATGATAGCAGATCTTCTACCTCACACTGTCTCTAGGACCCCTCCCTGCCCCCAACCTCAGGCTCTGAGCTCCCTGAACTCTTTCCAGCAGAAACACCATGTCTGCCCTTGAAACGTTTGGGAGGGTAGAAGCGTGGGACTCAGGGAGGCCTAGAGACCAAGCCGGGCTGAGTTCCCAGCCTTCTGACCTCCAGCTCAAAGCTCCCCTGTGGGTGTGAGAGTCGCCTAGGGAGAGTGGGTGTGGGGAATAGGCATGACCAGCACTTCTACCAGCCCCATCCCCAGCAGCTGCTCCCCTTGGACACCCTCCCCTCCCTGTGATCTTGACATTGCATTGCTCCAGCTAGAGTTCCTGCTCAACTTAGAAAGGGCTAGAAAAAAAAAAATAATGTCTAGGTCCAGCACAAGGCTGCTTTTGTATGGAGGTCAGATTCCCCGCAGCTCTGCAGCCTGACACAGTGGGGCTGTTCCTGGGAGAACCGCCGTCTGGGCTGCTCAGAGCCCATCCGGGGGAGCACAGCTCAAGGACCCGCCAGCTTCTTGGGAACTCAAGGAGACTCAGGTGAACACTGAATCCTGCATGCAAGGTTCCAAGAGCTCCCCAGAGAGGCTGCAGCTCGGCAGTTAGGAGACAGGGGCTGGCCAGGGTGTGCAGGAGGGGAGGGGACCCCACCTAAATAGTCCCAAAGAGGAGTGTGCCAGTTCCGACTTCCACATCTTACTAGCAGTGTGACTATGAGAAAAATCATTGAACCTCTCTGAGCTCAGTTTCCTCTACCAGATGAGACTGATAGAAGTGCCTACTCTACTGCTGCCACAAAGAGACGATGAAAGAATGCAAGTCAGTCCCTTGGCACGGAGCCTGTGCTAAGTGGCTTCAGTCGTGTCCGACTCTTTGAGACCACATGGACTGTAGCCCGTCAGGCTCCTTTGTCCATGGGATTCCCCAGGCAAGAATACTGGAGTGGGTTGCCATTCCATTCTCCAAGGGAACTTCCCAACTCAGGGCTTGAACCTGCATCTCTATGTCTCCTGCATTGATAGGTGATTTCTTTAGCACTAGCGCCACCCAGGAAGCCCGGCACAGAGCCTAGCAAAAGCTGCTCTTATTAAGGGGGCAGATGTGTGGGGATTTAACCCATCTGCTAATCCCCTGAAACCTTCTCCCTAACAGTCTTTGGTGCAAATAGTTTCTTTCTCTCAGTTTTATGGAAATGGCAGTTTTGAGGCCCCTCCCCATGTGTGACTGCTCCAATATCCTCTTCCACACAGAGGCTGGGCTCTTGGAGCCTCTGGAGAATTGTGAAACTAAGACCCAGGGCCAGGCTGGCACTCAAGCCACGGTGAACCTGGATCTTAGTGCAGCTGCATTCCAGAGCCTCCCCCTCCACCCTTCAAAACCCTGGAGGCCGCACGAGATGGAGTTGGGCAGAGCATGACCCATGGGCCAGGCTTATGGGAGTTGATGAGGCCAGCTTGGCACTATCCTTGGACGCTGTGCCTGGTGTCCCGTGGGCAAGAAGGGACCTCAGTCCTGAGAAGCTGCCTCAGTCCCTCCCAGGTTGTCCCTGTCTCCTAATCCCCAGCCCTAGATGCTAAACTCCTAAGGGCAGACCACTCAGCTCAGGCCTAGGCCTAATGGGAATTTAAAAGTCTGAGACCAGCTAGAACTCATCCTCATCCAGGAAGTCCACCGTGATCACCCAGTTCCCAGATAGCACGCCTTCCTTCTTCAGCCTCCGTGTGTCCTTCACCCAGAGCCTGTCTGCCCTCAGACTAGGAGTTCTTGGAGGGCAGGAAAGAAACCTGTCCATCTCAGTATCCCCAGCAGCCTAGCCCTGCACAAAGGATGGGAGTCCAGATGTACCCCCAGCCTGGCTGTCCCGACAGTTTTGGAGGTCCTGGTAAATCTGAATGGCCTTGCTGCCTCGCCTACAGTTGCCTACCCCTTCCCCACCCCTCCATTAAAGCTAGTAACTTGCCCCCACCTCACTCTGGCCTGGCTGCCAGCCCTCGCTGACGGGACCCTCTCTGGGATTCCCTACCCACCTGTTTGAGATCTGTTTTGTCTCTGTGCCCTACCGCTGCGGGGCTGCCAGGCACTAATTCAGGTTAAGCAATTAAGGCCAAAGGGGTTGGCGATGACTCCTTCCTCCTTGGAAACACTCCGGACCCCGAATGCTCTGGGGACACCAAGCTTGCACCACTTTAGCTCCCTTCCTGCCCTTCAAGTTGCAAAACACCGAAGCTGTTACCCACAGCCAAGACTTCTGAGCTCCAGGGCTTTGCTGTGCACATTCCCCGGGTGCTGACAGCTGCTCCGTGAGCATTGCAGAGACAGAACGATCTAGTCAGGAAAGCAAGCCTGAGCAAGCCAATGGGACCTGCCAGAGGTGAGACACAGCAACATAGCAGGTCAGCGAGCTTCCGTGGATCCCAGGACAAGATGCTGGAGTTGCCTAGGCCCAGCTGGCCCCTCTCCTGGGCTCTCTTGGTGCCTTTCTAATGCTTCCCCTCAAAAGTTGGTCAATCTGGGGCCTCCCTGATGGTCCAGTAACTAAGACTCTGCACTCCCAATGCAGGGGGCCCAGGTTCAATCCCTGGTTGGGGAATTAGATCCCACATGCCACCACTAAGACCCGGAGAAGTAAAAAAAAAAAAAAGAAATCAGTCAATCCTTTTCTTGGTCCAAGTCTTTCTTCATCTCTGACGAAGAGCAGAGAGGCAGAGTCCAGGAAAGTACACATTACAGGCCAGATCCCTGCCACGGCTACCCCGAGACACCCAGCCTGGGAGAGGGGCAGCTGTGAGCCCCACCAGGGTGAGGGGAGTAGCATTTGGTCTCCAGGATGCCAGGCAGCGGGGGAGTGGGGTATCCAGAGCTCTGGGCTGGCGTCACCACCTCTTTGGTCTCAGCTTCCTCTCCGGCAAGGAGTGTGGTGATCTGGGCCCAGTTTCTGCCTCCAGTCCATGACAGATAGGTCCTGATTCTGTCCCTGCCCTCACACCAGGCCTGTCTTCTCCCCAGGAAACCCGGGTCAGAAGAAAAGCTACCTGGGAATAAAGGCTCCAGTCCTCTTCCCCTTCCTCCTGTCCCCAATTCTGGCCTCTTTACTGCCCCTTCGGGGACTCTTAGAACTGGCCCCCCCCAACCAGTTCCACTTCAAATGCTACCAGCTGCTACCCCTAAACCCACAATCCCTGTCTGAAGACACCAGGCGTACCCGCATGGGAGAAGATCCTACAAAATACTCAACCAGTCCAGACTCTACCACCCAAAAGTCAACTTGCTATCTCCCTGACCAGCATCCACCCAAACCCCCAAGGAAGCTGGGGGGCCTCAGGGACCTGCCCCTCACCCTGGCTTCTCTGGGGGAAGCTGGGAAAGCTCTGAGAAAACCAGCACCACAGAGGGATCTCATCTCCCCGGGCAGGTGACACAGACCAGAGACATGATGGCAACAATGGACCGTCCCAAGGACATCTCAGAACCAGGGAGGCAGTGACCTGCTTCCCTGGGCACTGGTCACTTCCATTTTTTTTAAACTTCCATTGTTGCTACAATATCATTGTACAGCCAATAAAAGTGAACAAAAGCCTTGTTATTACTATCATTTTGATGACTCACCATGGTAAATGACAACTCTTGCCTCCCTCAAGGTGCAATTATCTGGAAGTGAGCATCATTAGAAGAGCATGTGGCCTCCCAAAGCTTCAAAAACAATTCTGCCAGTGCCTGCCTGCCAGCATGAACCTTGGCCCAGCAAGAAACTGCCTCAACCCACTTGGAAACTCCAAGGCCTTGTTTATTTGGGCCTCTGCTCCTCTTCCACCAACCCCAAGCCGAGATTCCAGGTACCCAACATGTGCACCAAATGAGGCCCCAGGTGTCTTGCCATCACTGACCTCTCTCTTCCCATGTTTCCTAAGGAAAAAAACCTTCCTCCCACTGCCTTCCATCAAGCTTGGCCCTGATGGCCATGAAAGAAGGGACGTAGTGGGGTCCCTGGGGACATGGAGATCAGTATTTCCACCTGGCCTGTCCCCCCCAAGTTTTGTCCTGTGGGTCACCTGGCTTGCTTCGTAGTGTCCTGTTAACCCCCTCCAGCACTCCCAGTACAGCTCCAGCCCTGTCCCGCCCACCCAGTCCTGCCCGGCAGCCTCCTGGCCAGCTCACCTGGAGGATTCAACTGGGCATCTTTCACCTTCTCTGGGGTCGAGAGTTTAAGAGCATGGCTTGGGGGCTCTTTGGAGAGCGTCTGCCCATCAGTCAGGGATCTGGAGGGGTAAGGGGAAAACAATTGTTAGAAGACGACAGGCTGGCCTGGGCTCCCGATGCTAGCCCAGAACGTGTCAAGCACCCCCGGGGGTGATATTGGCATCGCTGCATCCTAGGGGGCTCGGGGGTCAAGACCTTACCATTTGCAGGAGTTAACCTCACCCCCATGCCACGCTCTCCCTTCAGGTTCTAAGGGCTCAGTAGAAAGAAAAATCGAGCCCTGCTCTACTCTAATTGCTGTGTGACTCTGGGAAAGCACATGACTCTCTCTGGGCTTAGTGTCCCCATCTGGACAAGAAAGGCTTGCAGTCCGGGCATGCAAGGTTTGAGGATTGGGAGGGGCCGCCAAGTCCCTCACGCCCACACCCACCAGCGCTCAGTCCCCGAGAACAGCCGTCCTTAGAAACTCAGAGCAGAGATGAGGACACTCCTACAGCTCTCATGGGTCCTAAGCTGGCTCCCAAGTGAGGCCCTCTTCTCAGGGGTGTCTGTGAGGGTGCCCTGTGTCCACTCCCTGACGGAGAGAACAGGCAGGGGGACCAGGGAAACCTGGGGCTCTTGTCATGTTTTCACTCCTGCTCTAGATCCCCTTGCCTTCAAGGCTTGGTGGCCCTGGACAATGAATCCTCTTCTGGTCAACACAGCCCACGGGGTTATTGGGCCTCTACTATATAGTTAGCCTCGCTGCTCCTCCACGTGATTCCTCCTAAGGGTTCAACTGGCCAGACCTCAACCTTCTGGGTGGATGAGCAGATGGGATTCAGTATACACCTCAGGGTCAAGCAAGGCTGTGGTGTTACTCAGCTCTGGGGACACGTGTCACAGTGATAGGCTATACAAACAGAACCTGGAGTTGTGCAGTGTGTAACCTGTGCAGCTGGTCTTGGCAGCCCTGAGGCAGGCCCCTGGCTTCAAAGAGTCCCACCTGTCTGTCAGAGTGGAGCTGGTCCCATCCCTGCCCAGTTCCCAGGCACCTGGCTCAGTTACCTGCTTTTCATATGCGGTCTTACTTCTTGCTGGTACCGCAGGTTCAAACTGAGTTTGCGAACACACTCAGGTCCACCTGGCGGTAGTCTGTTTAATAACCTGAGATAGGTTTTAAAGCAAAAGACATCATGAGGTTTTGAAAGGGGGAGGGTGAGGAGCAGGGAGATAAGGAGTGGGGTGCCAGGCTGGTCCCCTTCTCAGAAACTTTGTGAGCAAGGCTGGGCCACAGGGCTGGAGCAGCCCTTCTGTTGCTATGGTAACCTGCTCCAGGAGGCTGCCAGAAGGACTGAAAAGCGTGCTTTTTTCAGATGAGGCCTGTTGTGCCAGCAGAGGGAAACAGAGGGTTCTGAGAACCGCAGGACGCGTCCTGCTGACCTTGGACCATTGGTCACTGCCACTACTCTCTTGGGTCGTTGAGTAAAAGCTGTCACCAAATGACCCCGAGCTCTGGGCTCAGGCAATTACAGGGCAAGCTGGGGGACACACACCCAACTAGGCTGAGGGTCCCACACTGAGGCTGGGAGGGGGGAGGGTATCCTGTGAACTTGGTATAACATCCATGCTCTATCTTGGTCCCTGGCTGCCTGCTTAAACTGGTCAACTTTTGAAATCACCCGCTGGGTAGCCACCCCCAAATTAGCCAAGGCCGTCGTTGGCTATAATCTCCCACCATCTTAACTATTGCCTCACAAACAAGCTTGCTTTTAAATCACCACCATCAAAAGGTACAGGCAGCGTTTCTGCCACCTAATCAAATTTGCGTAAACCGGTTCTGGTTTTAAAACAGCTAAACAAACACTAAATGAAAGGACACCTCAGGAAGCCAAGGGCCAAGCCTAACCATCAGATTAGACCCTTCTTCAGTTTATGGGGAGGAGAGACAGTAGGAAGCAACTTCCTGTGAGGGCCTTTCCTGAAGCGTCTGCCCCCCGACCCTGCCCCATTGCAGCAGCAAGCCTCTTGTGACTCAGTCACCTCTGCTGTCCTCTCCTCTCCCAGGGCCTGTCCTTTCCCTCCCTCAGGGAGAGGGTGGATCCTGTGCCCCTGCCTGTACTTGGTGGGACGAGAACCCCTTGAGGATGGCCCACGGAGGGTCTTACTCAGCCCGCTATGGGCCTGAAGAATATTGGATGCTTAAGACAAGGTCAAAATCTAATTATGAAAATGAGTAAAGAGCACTCTGCCCCTCGGCTCGAACCTTCAAGATTTAGTCCCCTTAAGGGGAGGGTACCCTTGTCCATTGAATGAAACTGAATGTGCTGGACCTTCCTATGACTTTTTCCTGCTCACCCAGGGTCATACTAGTAACAGACTCTACTGGTTTGGCGTGTAACACGGAAGTGAGTCAAACTGCAGGCCGTGGAGGGCCATCTGTCCTTTCCTGAGGTGGCTGCTGCCTCACGTGCCGCTGCTGGCCATGGTTGTCTTTCGTCTTTAATCCTCACCTGCATCACTAGTGGTCACTTCTTGCCACTGTCCCTGTGCTGGCCTCCAGTGACTCACCTCCCTCCTACTCTGTGGCGTTTTTTTTCGGTAGCAGGCTAGTAAATAAAATAGCCAAGCTTGTTAGAATTGTTAAGTCAGAGGAGATGGCTTCCAAAGTGGAATTTATAATGTTTTCCTCAAAGAAAAGAGATCTGGGGAGAAATCCCTTCTGTTTTGACTCCTCAAGAGCAATTTGGGCCCCTTCTGATTCTTGCTGCTGTTCCAGAAATCACAAGTGGATGGTAAATCATTGTGACAGAGGAAGTGTGAATATTATATAGTCAACCCAAGGAGCCTGTTAAAGGGGAGGAACACAGTATTCCCATCATTATGGAATCCTCGACTACACCTGGAACATGGTGCTCTAGAACTTGGCTCAGTGTCACAGGAGAAAGTTCCTAAGTAGCAGAATGACAGTGACAATGAGAGAACAGCCCAAGGGGGACGACTTGCCTCTGCTTTTGCATTCCTATGAGAAAGCAGAAAATCCAAAAAGGATCCCTGAGGAAGACACGAAGGTGGCATTGGTGGCAAAGAGCTCGCCTGCCAATGCAGGAAACACAAGAGATATGAGTTCGATCCCTGATTCAGAAAGATCCCCTGGAGGAGGGGCACAGCAATCCACTCCAGTATTCTTGCCTGGAGAATTCCATGGACAGAGGAGCCTGGTGGGCTATGGTCCATGTGGTTGCAAAGTCGGACATGACTGAAGTGACTTAGCACAAGGATGCAAACTGCTCTCAATCCCAGTTCACACACACGGACTGTGAGCATCTTGCCTTACTCACTTTCCCAGAAGCAAAAACTCCTTCAGCATCTGCCCAATAGTAGCACAGGGAGCAAGAAAACACTTGGAGGGCACGTACGAGCAGCTGTATTGTGAGGTGTGTGGGGTAAGCAGAGGAATCTGGGAGGGCCTGTACTCTCCTTTCCCCGAACTGGCTCTCCTTTCTCCTCCTGTCTTTCCAGAAGATGTGATGGGAATCATTTAAAGACAGAGCCTGCCAATAGCTTCCTTCAACTCCTCCTTCAGGAAGTCCTCCTGGATGATCCTTAACACCCCCTCACCCTTGTAGCCCTCAAACATGCAGGTTTGGGTTTTGAAGCCTACAGACAGCTTGAGAAACTTCTTGAGAGTAGGGGTCATGCCCGATTCAACCCTGTCCTCTGGCCCTAAGTGCTCTCTGGCAGGCAGTTGGAGCTCAGTAAATGTTGGTTGGACCTAATTCTGCTCAAGTTGTCACTATGTGTGTGACATTTAAGTCAAGGGAGCCTTCATTTTCCATGTGAACCCCTCATGGATGGGGATCCAGCTCCCATTTATTTCTGTTGCCCTTTCTTCCCATTCAGCACTCTGCTCTGTATCAGTTAAGTACTCCATAAATGCTTTCTTGAAACAATAGAGCACTCAGATTTACCAGAGTTGGCCTGCCTGTGTTCAAGTCACTTTACTTGCTCTACAACCTTGGGCAAGTCATGAACCTCTCTGAGCCTCAAGTTTTCTGCCTAAATCCTATGGCTATTGTGAGGATAACACGATACATGTAGTGCTTAGGCTCTCACAAATCTTTTGGTGAATAAGTAGGAGGAAATTCTTTGGTGAGATTAGGAGGGTTATTAAATAGGCTGAAAAGTCCCAATCCAAGTCTGGGGGTCCAGGGACCCTGCCGAGCCCAAGAACTCTCCTCCCTGGAAGGCAGTGTGGGGGCCAGGAGGTGGCAGGAGGGTAGGATCCTTGTTCCTTACACGGTCCTCAGGATGGAGCTGGCAGCCCTGAGCAGGAGTGCCTCTGGCATGGTCCCCAGGAGGTGGCCACACCCTGCAGGCTCACTCTGGAGAGAACGAGAACCTTAGAGAGCCTGTTCAGGCGTCCCCTGGGAGAGCCGCATCAGCCCCAGAGAGGCCTGGCACCACCAAACCGCCCTGCAACAGAGACACAGAGTGAGTCACCCTGTGGCCTGGCCAGGTCTGGGGCGACTGCCCTCCTTCCAGAGCGTGACTCACTGGTTCCCAGCCTCGGTACCTGTCTGTAATTCACCACCACCTAAGCCCACATACTCTGATCACATTGGGAATAACACAGCCTTGCAGCAGGTGGCTGCCTTGGGCCCCAGGGCTAATCAATTACCTGGATGAGCAAAAACATCAGATTCCCGGCCTCCTGACTCCTGTCCACTATTAGTAACCCCCCCCCCCCCGCCCCAACCCCGCCCCACCACCACTCTTTCCCACCCCTTTCTTGTTCTGGTTCTCACCTCTCTTTGTCCTGGGGGCAAAAGGAGGATCTGTCTCCTACATGCTGCAGGGTATTTTCAATGGAGGGCATTGTCCAAATACTTCCCCAAATCCTAAAACCCCCCTGAGCAGGGATAGGAGCTGTGCCTCCTTCTGATCCCACAGTCCTGGGCACACCGGCTGGTCCCTCTGCACAGCTGGAGCTCGTGATGGCGGTGGCCTCGTGTGCAGCCCCACTTCCTACTGGCTTCCCTGCTGCCCCGCACAGCGGACCCCACGCTGCATACCACTCTTTAGTTGGTCTGACCTGCCTGTCTCATCTCAAGGATAAGGCTCCCCTGACATCCCTCTTGCGATCCCTGATTCCCAGCTGGAAGACCCCCACCGAAGACTTACAGTGATGGACTATGCACCTCCAGGGAGGGTCTGGCTGCCACAGGGTGCTCACCTTCCTCCTTGGGGCTGGTAGGCACACGGCAAAGCCTTCGCTGTGCTCCTCCAGCTAAGGCATCGTAGGTGTGGGAGCCAGTGCTGCAGGGTCCCTGGGTCCAGGTGATGAGGCAGTGGGGCTGGGCGGGAGTGGGGACCCGCCCCAGTCGCCCTTGGGCTGCCAGTGAGGTGCAGCCCCAGATACCTCTGGCCTACCTGGCGCAGGTCCTTGCTGCCCACCTGTGAGGCTTACATAAAGAGGGGCGGGAGGCGAGGGAGGGGCCTGCCAATGGCAGTGGGTGTGTTGTCTGTCATCCTTGGCAGAGACGCAGAAAGACACTGTTCCTGCTGAAGGGCTTTCTGCCTGGAGCTGGCCCTGGGCCCCAGGAGTTAGGCAGGCAACCCAACCTTTTTTTTCTTTGCTTTTTCAAACTTTTCTTTACTAAATACATGTATCATGCCAAGTGTTTTATGTGTGTTGGCTCTTTACATCTTCCAAGAGCCCAGTGTGGATTAATGGTACCATTTCCCAGGTGAGGTGACAGAGGCCCAGAGAATTTTATTTTATTTTTTTCTCCTTCCTCTTTTACCCCCCTCTTTTTTTAAAATTGGAGGATAATTGCTTTCCAATATTGTGTTGGTTTCTGCTGCACAGCAACGTGAATCAGTCATAATTTTATATATATATATACACACACATAATTGTATATATACTTGGGCTTCCCTTGTGGCTCAGCTGGTAAAGAATCCACCTGTAATGTGGGAGACCTGGGTTCGATCCCTGAGTTAGGAAGACCCCCTTGAAGAAGGGAAAGGTTACATATATCCCCTTCCTCTTAAACCTCCCTCCTACCTCCCATCCTACCCCTCTAGGTCATCACAGAGCACCAGGCTGGGCTCCTTTGTTACACAGCAACTTCCCACCAACCATATATTTTACAAATGATGGT